ACATGCAATGAATAATACAGCATTCACAGGAGAGGAGGACCAGGCAAAAGGCCTCATAAATATGCTGTGATTACCCAGTGCTAATTCTTATTCAAAGAATGAATGGCATTAAAGCCAACTCCTAGGTTTCTGAGCATTTAACCTGTTTTTCTTTCCTCTGGCCATAACAAAATTTTACCACATTTTCTGTAAGCATTGTCCTGCAGTATTCTTCGACTGTGTATCCATTTCTGTATGTGATTGCAGACTTGAACATCAATAGCAGTAAATGACCTTACCTATTTTTGTTTGCATTGCTAAAGTTTACTCTCTTTACTGTCTTGGAAGAATGGAGAATAAAATAGGCAATAAGGATACATTGCATTATATTAAACATAGAAACATAATTTATTTTGCATCGATACGTTTGATGGATGACATGTGTGGATCAGCAGCTTTATTTTATTGTGTGGAATTAAGTAACATACTTTTCATGTACAATTGTCTAATAGTACTTATTATGTAATTATGCAAGTGATACATATTGGGATCTTCAGCACAGAGTTACAGTATGTACAGGCATAAATAAGCAGTTCTATGCAAAGGATAAGCAGTAAATTTAGTAATTCATTTATTAATTTTAATTAGCTTTTTTTGGTGGGGACACAAAAACCTCATTTTTGAAGCAGCACTTTTATTTGGTATTGTAATAGTATGTGGGAATGACCTTGGGAGATGGAGGAGAGGGACAAATGCTCTCTAGGGAATGATCAGGTAAGAGAGGGCATAGCCTGCAGCTGCATAACGGGCAGAGAAAGAAACTCAGAAAGGAACCTTCCTAACTTACCAGGGTATAAAAGAGACAGCAGGAGATTTGCACTTTCGGACTTGCAAGATTCTGTTAATGTAGCCTTATAATAAAGTAGAATTAGCTCATCTGGTAATGTTTCCTGTCTGGTCTACCAGGGAAGGCTGACAGGTATTGGCTGCTGGCTGAGGGGTCAAAGGAGGCAAATTATGAAAGTAGTGTCATACTGTCACAATACAAGCTCTGTTCTTTTTGTTCATGTATCATGATATCTCAGGCATGTACAAAAGGTAAAGAGCTTCTAACTCTTAAAATGGCAACTGTTTTTGCCATTTTAATGAAAGCACTCAATCCTGTGCACACCTTTGCTTCTATTTTCTCTCCATAACTACAGTCTAAGTTTGGCTGAGCTGAGAGTGAGTGACAGGCCTAAGTCACACAGTGAGCCTCCATGACTGAGAGTGGACCCTAATCTGGGTTTCCTAGCCCATAGTCCAACATCTAATCACTACACCACACTAGCTGTCAATATCAATAATCCTTTTCAATCTCTCCTCATAATTGCTGTATGTGTGTGCGTGTGCGTGTGTGTGTGTGTGCACCTTCGAGTCAGTTTTTGCCTCCTGGTGACTGCCTGAACTAATCCCTGCCGTTTTCTTTGCAAGATTTTTCAGAAGTGGTTTGCCATTTCCTGCTTTCTAGGGCTAAGAGAGAGTGAATGGCCAAAGGTCACCCTGCTGGCTTTGTGCCTAAGGTAGGACTAGAATTCACATTCTCATGGGGTTCTAGCCTGGTGCCTTCACCACCACAAACTGACTGTCCTCTTCAATCTTTTCTCATAGTTGCTATAGATACTAGATAGATAGATAGATAGATAGATAGATAGATAGATAGATAGATAGATAGATAGATAGATAGATAGATAGACCGG